CTACTATACTACTACTACTACTACTACTACTACTACTACTACTACTACTACTACTACTACTACTACTACTACTACTACTACTACGACTACTACTACTACTACGCCTCCTATCGAACTCCGCATACTTCTCCAAACTCCCCCTCATCCCTCGTCCCTCGTCCCTCCATCGTTCTCCCGCTGGGGCCTCCTCTTCTCGCGAGAGGCCCTCTTCCAGATCGGCTGCATCTTCGCCTCGAACTCCTGCGCCCGGGGGGGCGGGGCAGGAGCAGGAGCGGGGAAGAAGGGTAACGAGTCAAGGGGGGGAAGAGGGAGGAAGAAGGATGGATGGAGCAGGAGGCAAAGGAAGGAGGAGGAGGAGGAAGGAGGGAGGACGAATGAGGAAGAGGGAGGAGGAGGAGGAGGAGGAGGAGGAGGAGGAGGAGGAGGAGGAGCGGGAGGAGGAGGGACGAGAGAGGGAGGAGGAGGAGGAGGAGGAGGAGGAGGGGCGCGGGAGGAGGAGGAGGAGGAGGAGGAGGAGGGGCGCGGGGAAAAGGAGAGATTGGAGGGAGGAGGAGGAAGAGGAGGAGGCGGCAGGAGTAGAGGAGGACGACGAGGGGGGAGGATTTGCCTCGAAGGCCCCAAGGCAGAACGTAACACGAGTGCGCGCTTGGTGGCCATTTGGCCACGACCTTGCAGCACTGGAATTCTTAAACGAGAGCACCGTGGAGGAAACGAAAAGGAGATAGTCGCATCGTCATCATCGTCGTCGTCCTCCCCCTCGCCCCCGTCGTCCACGTCGTCTTCGTCGTCCTCGTCGTCGTCGTCCTCCTGCTCCTCCTCTTCCTCTCGTCGCCCTCCCCCTCCTCGTCCTCTTCCTCCTCCTCCTCCTATTCCTTCTCCTCCGCCCCCTCTTCCAATCATCTTCCTCATAACCCAGCGCGGGCGATCAAAATACCTGGGGATACGAAAGTTCGGGGGTCCGGCGAGGATGATCAACGATTTGCCCGGGGAAGGTGAAGATATGATGCTGAAGACGATGATCATGGAGATGGTGATCCTGGGCGCTCGGCAAAAGACTGACTCGAGAGATCCCGGCGCTCGTGGCTACAACTTGCCAGCAGGCGCTCGGCACAAGACTGACTCGAGAGATCTCGACGCTCGTGGCTACAACTTGCCAGCGCAAGAAAGGTCCTTGGCCGTTCTGGCCAAGAAACCTCTCTTGCGTTGGATTTCGGACCACTCGCCCACTCAGGCGCGGCACCCTTTGGAACCGTCCTTGCAGGGGAGGCACTTGGTGCACGCTTGGGCGGCAGCGCTTGCCTCCTCGAAGGTGGCGCACTTCGGCTCGGCCGCCGTGGGGTCCTTGCAGGGCATGGCCTTGGCCTTGGCCTTGGCCTTGGCCTTGGCCTTGGCCTTGGCCTTGGCCTTGAGCCTTGAGCCTTGGCCTTGGCCTTGGCCTTGGCCTTGGCCTTGGCCAAGTCGTTGTCGCTGGCCTCCTTGGGCTTGTTGGTCCACTCGTTGCCTCGGGCGCACATCGTGCTGATGCTCACGGGCGCTTGGCGGCTCTCGCCTCGGATCTCGCGCAGGGCGCGCAGGCCTTGGACTTGGGACAACTGAACTGGTGAGAATCCCACAGCCCTACCACACGCTCGTGACTGCGGAAGCTGATATGGTGAGACCACCATGGCGATTCCCAGCGTCTTTGATGCTGTTGTTAGTCAACATGACATGAGAGCAACTTCGACTCGCAACTTCCCCCGTGGATAATCAAATTCGGCCTCCGCGCCAACTCCATAGTTAAATCCTGCTGAACGGGGATATAAAAGGGGCTCACACGGGTAGATTATAGTATCGCCCGCACGCGGCTAAGCAACTCCTCCCTGTCACACCCCGAGGCCAGTCGGAAGGGCGGGCCAGGCATTTCACTCGAGACTTCCTTACCACTGATGATCCTGAAGCTCAAGGTTGGTAGCAACAGCTTCACACATGGAGGGCGGGTGGTGTTCAAACTGTGGCCCTCGCCTTAGCGCCGCGCCCATTCGTTTTGAACAGTTGCAAGCGCCCCACGGATTGAGGCTGGATGATTTTCAACATGTGGCTCCCGCCTTAACGCCGCGAACACTCGCCTTAGATCAACGTGCGGAAGCTTCACGGGTTGAGGGCGGGTGGTTTTCAAAATGTGGCTCTCGCTTGAGCGCCACGCACACTCGTCTGTATAACGTGCAAGAGCTTCACGGATTGAGGGCGGGTAGTGTTCAAGATGTGACTCTCGCCTTACGCCGCACACTTTCGCTTTAGTTTAAATAATGCTAACGGAGTTCCCCACATAAAGAGATTAACGGTTTCGTGGGACCCATTTTCTTGATGCCCTCCTCGCTTTGGCGGGGCCCCACGCTCAGGCGGGGCCTCCCTGGAATTGTGGAGGGGATGAGCGAAACCATGTAAATAGTATGGTTTTCGGATCCCTCCTCGCTCAGAGAGCGGGCCTCCCTGCAGGGCAGGGGTGGGAGGCACGAAACCATGTAAATAGTATGGTTTCGGATTCCTCCTCGCGCAGGCGCCCGCGGCCCTCCCGGGAAGGGTGGGAGGGACGAAACCATGTAAATAGTATGGTATTCCGATACCCTCCTCGCTCAGGCGGGGCCTCCCTGCAGGGGTGGGAGGGGCACGAAACCATGTAAATAGTATGGTTTTCGGATACCCTCCTCGCTCAGGCGGGGCCTCCCTGGAGGGGTGGGAGGGGCACGAAACCATGTAAATAGTATGGTATTGCCGTTTACCCCACTCGCTCAGGCGGGCCCCTGGAGGGTTGTGAGGGGCACGAAACCATGTAAATATATGGGTATTCCGCTACCCTCCTCGCTACAAGTCGGGGCCTATCCCTGAGGTGGGAGGGGCACGAAACCATGTAAATATATGGTTTGCGGAAACCCTCCTCGCTCAGGCGTGGCCTCCCTGGAGGGGTGGGAGGGGCACGAAACCATGTAAATAGTATGGTATTCCGATACCCTCCTCGCTCAGGCGGGGCCTCCCTGGAGGGGTGGGAGGGGCACGAAACCATGTAAATAGTATGGTATTCCGATACCCTCCTCGCTCAGGCGGGGCCTCCCTGGAGGGGTGGGAGGGGCACGAAACCATGTAAATAGTATGGTATTCCGATACCCTCCTCGCTCAGGCGGGCCTCCCTGGAGGGGTGGGAGGGGCACGAAACCAGGTAAATAGTATGGTATTCCGATACCCGCCTCGCTCAGGCGGGGCCTCCCTGGAGGGGTGGGAGGGGCACGAAACCATGTAAATAGTATGGTATTCCGATACCCTCCTCGCTCAGGCGGGGCCTCCCTGGAGGGGTGGGAGGGACACGAAACCATGTAAATAGTATGGTATTCCGATACCCTCCTCGCTCAGGCGGGGCCTCCCTGGAGGGGTGGGAGGGGCACGAAACCAGGTATATAGTATGGTATTCCGATACCCTCCTCGCTCAGGCGGGGCCTCCCTGGAGGGGTGGGAGGGGCACGAAACCATGTAAATAGTATGGTTTGCGGATACCCTCCTCGCTCAGGCGGGGCCTCCCTGGTATGGTATGGTATGGTATGTGTGGTAGGAACTATGGTATGGTATGGTGTGTGTGTGGTAGGAATAATATTGTGCTGTATGGAAGATGGAGCGGGAGGTGGGTGGGAAGGAGAGGGTGTTCTGGGAAAACAAGAACCCCACTCAGGATGTGGGGAACAAAAAACAACAACAAAAACAAAAACAACACACACACACACACACAAACAACAAAAAAAACAGTGAGCGTTCGTCTTCACGCAGTCGAGATCAACAGGTGGTACAAACGCCGTCGTACACAGCGTGGTCGGATCCGCTGCCACTGGGGCATTCGGCGAAGCCCCCTATGGGGCCACGAAGCGTGTCCGTGAGCGGTGTGCCGAAGTTGGCGTGGCAGCACGCGGACCCTGCCACTGGGGCCTTTGCTTGTGCCCTTTATGGGGACACGAGACGTGTGAGGGGTGTGCCGAAGTTGGCGCAGCAGCGCGCGGACCTGCCACTGGGACCCTCTGTGGAGCCCCCTATGGGGCCACGAAGCGTGTGAGAGGAGTTCTGGAATTTAGCGGAATGACCCCATGCGATGTCCTCGTGGGACCATCGGTGGAGCTCCCTACGGAGTCATGAAACGCGCGAGCGATGTGCCGGAATGGGCGGGGGCCGGTATGTGAACGCAGGGCAAGGGGCAGTACGCGAACGCAGCTACTTGGGCCTCCGGTGGAGCTCCCCCTGGGGCCACGAAACATGTCAAGGGCGTGTTGGAATCGGAGCGATACGCTGGCGAAGGGAAAAGGTCGCTGGCAAGGCGAGGAGGCGGAGGAGGGAGGATGGTCGGGGAGGAGGCAAGGAGAAGGCGGAGGAGTGAGGATAGTGGGGGAGGAGAGAAGGAGACGCGGGGTGATGCGGACTGAAAAGGAGGTCCCAACTCAACACGGTGTGGTTGTGAATCAAAGCGTCCAGGAACTTTGAGAAAGAGGTCGTCATTATCGTCAGGAGTTCTGTGTCGCCCCAGGTCTCCCAGCCGCTCACGAGGCGGGTCACGCTGAGATTGTCCTGCGGGCCAGGGGGCTCCGCGCGGCAGCGCCGCCACTTCTCCCTCGCCCCAGCGCCCAAGAGCCACCCGAAGGCCAGGCAAAAAAGTAAGAACCAGCAGCAAAACAACAAAATCTCAACGGCCCTCTGGGCGTGAGTGGTTTGGGGGGGGTCCCCGTTCAACCCAGGGAGAATTTCATCGCTATTCCCAGTGAGTATACGTCTCCGCTCCCACCCGACCAGAGACGAATCTGGGACCATGCCGACGCCCCCCCCCGCGATCCTGGACAAACCACCATGCAGAATGCACTTTGCGCCAGTATCTGGTTTGGTTCATGTGCGGAAGCCTCACGATCACTTCGCATTGGATTTTGATTGGGACGGCGGGGGGGCTGGCATATTTAGTGAAACAAAGTGGTACCGATACCACTACTCTCTGGACCTCTCCCGGGGTGCATTTTGACCAGGATTTCGAGGCGAATCCAGCAGTGGCGATGAGGGCTGCCCAGGAGGCCCCAAAAAGGGAAAACGAGGGAAGGGTAGAGGTATGGGCACCTTGTTGTTGTGTTGGTGTCGTTTAGAACCTTGCTTCGGCCTCTTGGGGAACTGGGGCCTGGAGGCCTGTGTGGGCCGTTTTGGGGCCCCCGTGGGCCGTTTTCGACGCCGCTTACGCAGTCTTGGAGACCTTTTGGGCGGTCGTGGGGGTTTCTCGGGCGCCTGTTGGAATATAGCTCAATACATACATACATACACACACAAGTGGATCTAGTCAACTCCTCCTCCTCCTCCTCCTCCTCCTCCTCCTCCTCCTCCTCCTCCTCCACCTCCTCCTCCTCCTCCTCCTCCTCCTCCTCCTCCTCCTACCTCCTCCTCTCCTCCTCCTCCTCCTCCTCCTCCTCCTCCTCCTCCTCCTCCTCCTCCTCCTCCTCTCCCTCCTCCCCTCCTCCTCCTCCTCCTCCTCCTCTCTCCTCCTCCTCCTCCTCCTCTCCTCCTCCTCCTCCTCCTCCTCCTCCCCTCCCTCCCCCCTCCTCCTCCTCTCCTCCCCCCCCTCCTCCTCCTCCTCCCTCCTCCTCCCTCCTCCTCCTCCTCCTCCTCCTCCTCCTCCTCCTCCTCCTCTCCTCCTCCTCTCCTCCTCCTCCGCCTCCTCGCCTCCTCCGCCTCCTCCGCCTCCTCCGCCTCCTCCTCCTCCTCCTCCTCCTCCTCCTCTCCTCCTCCTCCTCCTCTCCTCCTCCTCCCCCTCCTCCCCTCCTCCCCTCCTCCCCCTTCCCCCCTCCCCCTCCCTCCCCCTCCCCCTCCCCTCCTCCTCCTCCTCCTCCTCCTCCTCCTCCTCCTCTCCCCCTCCTCCTCCTCCTCCTCCTCCTCCTCTCCTCCTCCTCCCCTCCTCCCTCCTTCCTCCTCCTCTCCTCCTCCTCCTCTCCTCCCTCCTCCTCCTCCTCCCCCCTCCTCCTCCTCCTCCTCCTCCTCCCTCCTCCTCCTCCTCCTCCTCCTCCTCCTCCTCCTCCTCCCTCCTCCTCCTCCTCCTCCTCCTCCTCCTCTCCTCCTCCCTCCTCCTCCTCCTCCCTCCTCCTCCTCCTCCTCCCTCCTCCTCCTCCTCCTCCTCCTCCTCCTCCTCCTCCTCCTCCTCCCTCCTCCTCCTCCTCCTCCTCCCTCCTCCTCCTCCTCCTCCTCCTCCTCCTCCTCCTCCTCCTCCTCCTCCTCCTCCTCCTCCTCCTCTCCCTCCTGCTCCTCCTCCTGAACTCTAGCCTCGCCCTTCCTCATGGCAGGCAGGCGCAGTCTCCTCGTCGTCGGCGTCGTCGGCGTCGTCGGCGCCGTCGTCGTCGTGCTCGCGGGCGGGGAATGGGGGAGGGGGAAGAGAAGGAGGAGGGAGGGAGGGAGGCAGGTAAGGCAGAAGGGATGGGCAGGAGAGGCAAGAAGGGAGAGAGAGAGAGAGAGATCAACAAGTGAATATGGATTCGTTCTCCTTTGTTTCATTCCGCTGCTTGATGATTGTTCTCTTCCCCTTTCGTCCTCATCCCCCTCCTCACCCTCCTTTTCCTCATCCTCGCTATCCTCTCTTCAGAAAGATGATGGGGTGGGCAGTGTGGGGGACCTTCGATTTCACGGTTATCCAAATGAGGTTGCACAGCCCGAAGGACGGGCCACGTGAAACATTTGCAAGGGTTGGGGGGGTGAGGCTTGGGAAGGAAACGGGGGGAGGCGCAGGGCTTCGATCGAAGAACGGCGGCTGGAAAGGCCACGGCAAGGCGCTGCACCGAATTGGGGTGTTCGATGGGACTGCGCGGACCGTCCTCTTCATCTTCGGCCTCCTTGCCGGACTGCTGGTGGCGATCATGTTCCTGGCAAGCTCCCCGGGAGCATGGTATGTAAGGCCCTGTAGAAGTCCTCGTGGAGATTGCCAGGGTACTTCAAAGGAGGCTGCAGAACCCGAAGGACAGCCAGAGTGAGCCATTCGGAGATGTTGTCATGGTGGTGCGGCTGCGAAGTGAGATGGGGGAGGCGTAAGGTAACGAAACAAGAACGGTAGGAGCTGGGTAGGACAGGAAGGAGGGATGTGGAAATTGGCCCCGCGGGGGCCTCTTGGGGGCCGTTGTTTGGCCTCGTTGGGCCAGTTGTTGAACTTCCTGGGGCGTCGCGGGGGCCTCGTGTGGTCCTCTTGGAGCCCCGTTGCAACATCTGGGAACCTTCTTGGGTGCCTCCTGGGAGCCTCTTGAGGCGAAAGACTCGAAAATTTCAGTTCATGCTCCCCCTCTGGAGGCCATCTCGGGGCCGTCTTTAGCGCCGGGGCCGTCTCGGGTGCCGCTGCGGCCGTCAAGGAACTCTGTTGAGCCGTTCCAGGTCCTCCTGGGTGCCTCTGAACCCGTCCTGAGGCGATGTTGGAGGCCTCTTGAGCCGTCATGGATTGTCGGAAGCTTGCAGAGTGGGAGCCCACAAACAAAGAGAAAC